AAAGTTAATGAGGTATTCCTGAAAGTAAATAAAGTATAAAATATATTTATTTACTTGTTAAGTTATAAAATAAAGTCAATGCAAGTCAATAAATATTATTAAATATATTTTAAATTATTATTTTTTGTTTGGTATATTTTGATATAAAAATAACAAAAATATGAAAATATAAATTTATTTTTTTTCGAAAAGTTTTATATGAATTGTTTAGAGAAAGTAAAAGTAGTTATTCTGAAAATAAACAAAAGAATGTATAGTTAAATAATAAGTTATATAAGATAACTGATCTTATTACACAAACAAAAAATATTAACTTTTGAAAAAAATTTGAAATGATAATCAATGATATAATAAACTTCAAAAGATATCAATGTCAATCAAAATGCAGCGATATAAATTTCAAAAGATATTTGTTAATAATATAATACCAATTAAAATTGTTATGAAGAATATTAACAATGTAATTAGAACTCATTCTATAATAGTAGTCACAAAGCACTTTTGATTCTCACAGTTATGTATTTATCCATTATTTTCAGAGTACAAAATCTAATTGATTATATTCTAATTATTTTGAAAGGTTATAATTACATTTAAAATATTATAATATTATATTTGATACTTACTTTTGCATTATTAGAAGGTTAATATTCATTGAGAAGTTAATATGATATACCGTAAATATTCAAAAATAATTAAATAATTACTCCTTGATATCAAAATAGTAAATCTTCCTATACTGATATAAATTTTAGTAAATATTTGATCTCCTCAAAATTAGCTATTGATATTATACTTTATATTTACTTCAATAGATATTTTCTAGTATTTTACAATTTTCTCTTCTACAAAATACTTAAAAAAAAGAATGTATAAAGGTTAGTTAGGAATAGTAAAGATTAAAATTAAAATATAATAAAATTCTCTACTTATATATAATATATGAATTCTATAATTAATAATTTCGTAAATTTATTATACAGTACAAACATAAAATAATAACATATACTTATTTCAATAATTTTATAGTATGTAAACATTTGTTGAGAATATTATACAATTTGTTAAAAACATGTTTGTTTGTATACAATATAAGCATAGGCAAAATCCTATACTTACAATATTCATATGATAATAATTATTCTTATTTGAAAATTTTATTGTAAATATTATATATGAATGTTTGTAATATTTAAACAATACTAATTCAAACTCATTGTAATCATTGTTTAGTTATTCTGAAATCTTTAACTATAATATATTAAATTATCAAAAGTTTCAGGAACATGTTAATACCAATAAATACTGGTCGAAAATTGATAAAACATACACATATCGAGTACCCGATATGTGTATGTTTTATCAATTTTTGACCAGTGAAACTTTGAATCAATATGATATCTAATAAAATTATAACAATAATATAATTACATTCAGTGAACATAAATACTAATCTTAATTGTTGTGATAAATTTTGAAAGATATTGTTAACTATAAAATTTTACTACAATAAACTTTGAAGAATATTGTTAACAGTGCAATGTCAATTAAAATTACTGTGATAAACTTTTGAAGAATATTATTGATAGTATAATGTCAATTAAAATTGTTGTAATAAATTTCAAAAGATATTGTCAACAATACAATATCAATTAAAATTACTATGATAAACTTTGAAGGATATCATTAACAGTGTAATGTCAATTGAAAATTGCAGTGATATAAATATAAGTGATAACTATCAAAATAATTATTATGAATATCTAACATAAACAAAGGTTATTGATATGAAATTATTATGAAAATAATAATATTTGCAAAATTTTGTACATGAAGATATCAAAATCAATAACCTTTAAAAGTTATTGATACAAATTTACCATGAAAATAATAATATTCATAAAATTTTGTACATGAAAATATCAAAATTAATAAATCTTCAAAAGTTATTGATATGAATTTACTACGAAAATGATAATATTCATAAAATTTTGTCACATGAAAATATCAAAATTGATAACTTTCGAAAGTTAGTGAAGACCTTTGAAGAATAATATTGAAAAATAATAAAATACTTATATTAATATTAACTTTCGAAAGTTTTCATTAGAAAAAATTTCCTGATGTAATTATGAACTTATCAGAATTCTCACCATATTTAACTACATATTCTTTTAAACTCACATTCCTTTCTGCTCTAATTGAAAATAAAAATGGTGACACTTCCAGTTAAGAGGTTATTTCTTTATAGTTAGATTCTAGTTTCTCTGATTCATTATTTGTCAGTAATTCAAAAGAGATCTTGAGTTCATTTTTTATAGATTTGGCCTTTAGTCAGTTCACATCAATAGAAAATGGTTCAATTTTAATGATTTCAGCAAGAAGTTCTAGTTTATCATCTATTAGTTCTACATATTTGATCTTAAAAGTCATAGATATATTGGTAAACTTAAATGACAAAGTAATTGAACTTTTTAGTTAATTTATTATTAAATTAAAGAGATCTTGGGTCATATTAGTAATAGGAGCAGGTAATAAATCCTTGCTTTTTTTGAGATAATCAGTAGTCAATGGTACTTTTATCTCTTTTTCTAGTTTTAGAGTTATAATTTTAAGTACGTTAAATATGAAAATATCTATAGAGATGTTAATATATATCTTAGGTTGAGATATGTTTAAAAATTCTTCTATATTGATACTTAATTCATATAGTTTACTTACAATTTTGAATCTCTCTTTCTATTGATTTGTACTTGCTTACATTCTATATCAATTGTTGAAAGAGTTTTTTCAAATTTTTTACTAGTAAATGAATTTTCACTATTTTTTTTACACCAAATATAATATCCTTAGTATAAATTCAAACATATTACTTTCTTAGTTCTATTTTTAGACCAAGATGAAATATGATCGATTATGAATCATTTCAAATTTTGGTAAGTGTTATAGAATTATATTTAATTTTATTTTAGTAGCAGAAATATCTTATGGATTCCAATTTGAGATATCAAGACTAAGTAGATAAGTATTAATTACATTAGGTATGTCAGAATGTTTTAATACTTTGATTAAATTTTTAAAATATGTTATATTGCTTTTATAATGGAAGGACACATTAAAATATATGATACGTTAATCACCCATTTCAACTCAAAGTGAGGTATTATAATTACTTAATATCATAAATTCAGCATAATCTTTTAGAACTTTGGGTTCTAGTCCTTTGTACTCGATTGTTAAATAATCTTCTATAACAAGAAATTTGAAATAATTATTATATTTATATCAATTTCTACTAAACATTTCTGTTTTATTTATAATGATCAATTTACAAACCTGAATGCAACTATTAAATTGTTCCAATATTTTTTCAAGATCAGATATTACATAGAAAAGTTCTGACCTGAGAACTTTTTTATTTATAAAATCAATTAAGATATTCTTCTCGCAACTTAGTAAGAAACATAATACTTAAATTGTTTCAGGTTTTTTAGATAACTGTCATATTAGATATATTATTCAGTATCAGAAATATTTATTAAGCTTTTGATTTTCATCAAAAATTATATTTTTTGCATGCCATAGAATTAAATTCATAATAGTAAAATTTATTTTGGTTACTAGTTGGGCTTTAAATCCTAGAAAGAGATTAAAAAACTTAGTATTCAGTAAAGGAGTATTAGAAAAATATGGCAGGAAATCAATATTATGATAGAAAATCAGACCTGCAACAACTACTTGATTTATTAATATTTTTAATTCAATTAGTTTCCTTTAATATTCAGTATTTTTATTTTTGTACTTAGCAATATCTAGTTTAGATGTTATATCAAAAAAAAGACCATTATCTGAATCTTCCATTTTAAGTAGTGTTATCTGTATAAACCTTCTACAATTTACAAAGACAACGGGATAAAATAATACTAAAACTAATAAATAAAACTAAG